AATGGGTGTGGAAATTGGGACCTTTGTCCATGCTCACTCTGAGTATCTAGCCCCCACCCATGCCAGGGATCTCCCTTGACCTCGTTAGAAGCAGGGGTCCTGGGCTCTGAGCTGACTCATGGCCAGCACTGTAACCTAGTGTTTGAAAAGCCTTGCCTTTTGCCCCTTCCTGTATCTCCGGTGGAAGACCCAAACTCTAGGGAAGGGAGTGAGCCCTGTGGCTCCTTTTTAACAGCTGGTTCTGGAATTTGCCCAGGAAGGAGGCTGGGAGGGAACCTCTCCAGGAGGAGGGGGCCCCCAGGCTGTAATTGAGGCTGGGAGGTGCCCAGTTAAGAGAGGGAGTGACTGGAAGAAACAAGATGACAGAGAGAGGTGGCATGGGTTGGGGTGAAGCAAGGGTAGAGGGTAGAGGGGCAGGCCTTCACATAGGGTGAGAGGTGTCTGACCATCACAAGCTGAGAATGGGGCATTGGTCAAGGAAGCCAGGCACCTGGCCCTGAAATGGTGTCTCGCATCAGCCACATCTTCATCTCCTGCGCCTGGTCTCTACCTCTGGAATGAGTTCTCAGGGTCAAACTCTCTCCCAGGCACTCACTGCTCCTGTCTCTCCCACTTCTCCTTTCGATCCCTTTGTCTTTCTCTCACAGGCTCACCTCCCACTCTGACACTGTATCTGCCTCTTTATACTCTATTTTCTTTCTCTCCCTTCCTCCTCCCTTCTTCCCCTTTCTCTTCTCTGCTCCTTCCCCTGGCCTCTCTTTTTCCCCCTCTTTCTCCTCTCACTGGTTCCCTCTCCTCTCTTTCCTTGCTATCATTCTCTCTGTCTCTATCTTTCCCTCCCTTTCCCCCCCCCCCAACCCCAACAGGAGCCCTTTGTGTCCAGAAGCTCTGCGGGTGGCAGCCGGAATCTACTCCTCCCCACCCCCCAACACACGCCCAGCTTGGCAGGTCTAGCCATGGCTCAGAGACTCTCCCGTCCCATCACCCCAGCATCCACAGTCACAGCCCAGCTATCAGCTTCTGCTATCTCCCAACCCACCACTGGACTCAGTGCAGTTCCAGAGTGGGCTGAGGCCACCACACTCTCTTAACCTACCCAGAGAGACTTTCTACTCCCAGCTGGGCTAGCAAGCTGGTAGAGGGTGGGGGTGGAGAATGGGGACAAGGGGATTAGGGTGGGTGGGAGGGGTGCAGCTGAGTCGGTCACAGGCCAGAAGCCCAGGAGGAACGTGATAAGGATTGGAGCCCCGCCTGCTTCTAGGCCCAATTCAGCTGCCCCCAGCTCCTTGAGGCCCTTATTGTTACCCATACGCCCTTGACCATCCCTTATTCTCTGACCTTCCCTCCTCCCACTTTCTGACTGCCTTAGGTTTTTCCATCTTTCCTCCTCTGAGGCCTTCCCTCCCACTCCTCCTCAGTGCTCCCCTCTCCCCCGGGGCCTGTGAGAAGAGGACTGATTATTCTGCCACCCCCACAGCTGTGTCCCTGTACCTTGGCTGTCCCCATCACTTCAGCCAGGACAGCCCCCACAGTCTACAATGTGCATTGTTCCCACATACCAAGCCAAAGTGGGAACTGGGTTCAAGGAGGGGTATATAATGTGGGGGCTAGGAGAAGGGGAACTGAGGCCCCAGGAGCCCTCCCTGCATCCCCACTCAGCCCACACACGTCTGCTAACCCCCATCTTCCCCACTGCTCAGATGTATGGCCGGTATACCCAGGACCTTGGGGCCTTTGCCAAAGAAGAAGCTGCTCGGATCCGCCTGGGAGGGCCCGATCCTTGGAGGGGTCCGCTTTCCCCTCGGGCTCCCCCAGAGCTCCTGGAATACGGACAGAGTCGTTGTGCCCCGTGCCGCAGTGAGACCTGGGTTGGGGCAGGGGATCTAGATGTGCTGTGCTGAGGGGGACAGAGGCCATTAGAGCTGCCCATTGGACGTTGGGAGGGTCAAGGGTAGGAGCACTTTGGTGCCAGCCTTCCCATTTTTCCCTTCCCTGTTCCCAGTCTGTTCCATACGCTGTCATAAGTTCCTAGTGTCCAGGGTTGGTGAAGACTGGATCTTCCTTGTCCTGCTGGGGCTCCTTATGGCACTGGTCAGCTGGGCCATGGACTATGCCATCGCTGCCTGTCTTCAGGGTGAGGAGGACAAGGGCTGGCGGCGGGAGGGCCGGGAAGCACCAACCTGCTTCCTCCATGCCACACTTGTCCAAGTATCTTGGCTACTTGGCCAGCCTGAGTATCCATCTTCAGACGTAATCACTGACACTCACATAGGCCACAACTTCTTGCCTCCCCTCTCCAACTGACCCTCTCATCTTCAGTGATCTCTGTCCCAGTGAAGACCCTCTAGGGCCCCCTCCCTGCCCCTTGTATAGGATTCTGTATGATATCCTCTGGGACAGCCCGTCATGTCAGTATGTCCCAGCATACTGGGTGTACACATGAGGGTATGCACATCAGGGGTCCAGCAGCACATCCTCTCCCCACAGCTCAACAGTGGATGTCCCGGGGTTTAAACACCAGCCTCTTGCTCC